AAAACTTTGGAATGGGTTTTCACTGCACATTAGACAGGCCACCTCCCTGGCTCATTTTAAAACTCTTCTTAAAACCCACCTCTTTCTTTGGCTTTTGACACCATGTAGAGTGTTGATTTTATGTATACGCATGCATATTTTTTATCCTGTGCGGGCAGTGCTTTTATTTTATTTTATTTACTTTTATTTATATTGATTTATTTTAGTTATTTTATCTTTTTGTGCAGCACTTTGGAAACCTTGTGTTTATTGAAATCGTGCTATATAAATAAAGTGGATTGGATTAATTGGATTGCTGAAGAGTAAATGAGTCGATGCAATCAGCTGGTTTTCCTTAGATGGAAAACTTTGAATGGATGACGCAGGGACAAACAGTGGGGAGATCACGCATGCTACAAGGCTGCTGTCGACCGGGACCGCGACATGGAAGCAAACCGGGAGCGGACACACCGGAGAGGCCGGCAGACGCGCGTGGGGACGACTGCAAGAATACCGCCTGAGAGGAAAAAACACAGGCTGAATACGTGCACCAGTATAAACTTGAATATAGATAGACATGGGTATGGTATCACTTGTCCTGCTAAAGAAAGGTAAAATCTACCTGAGCATACAGTTTTTGTTGTTATGATGGGTCATAAATTAATAGACTGTTAGCCTAAAAGGGACTGTAATGCAGCTGCAAGGTCTGGTATGGGTATATTAATCCTACATGGGTTAAATCTCATTACTGGAAGGGGGCCCTTTCTTTTGGTAAGGCTTTCCCCCTAAAATCAAAAAGAGATTCAGCAGAAGAGGAGGGTTGTTGACATCTCTTTATGGAGGTCAGTTTCTTTTTCTTTGTGTATAGTTCAAATAAGTTATAAACAGTTACAAAAAATGTTGATGGTTCATGACTGTTTAACTGAAAGCCTGTTGATCAGTCTTCAAGATGTTATCAAAACAAAGGTAATATATGGATACTAAACAAGAAGCAATTAAGATTCTGTCTTTAAATTTTAATGGCCTGGGAAACCCAGTCAAAAGAGCCAAAATAATGTCCAAGCTTAAAAAAGAA